TTCCATTAGTTTCAAATTTAACAAGAATCATGACGAGGACGTAGTTAAAATCACGATCAGTTTTGGTGGTACCTAGGGGTCCCGATCAAAGTGTCTTGTTCGAATTGATTTTTCTACGACATCCCGTTGACTTGTTTCCTTACCAAACGTATGATCTAAAGCTGAGAGGCGGTACGCAATGCCCCAATAATAATTAATTAATGAAGCAAGTGTTTATTTATATCAGGCTGGGAAGTCCAGATACTGTATAACGTTATGCACAATATGTATCCTGGGTATTGGTCTGTATTCAGTGCTGAACTGATAGTGGAAATTAATAACTAATTAGAGTTTGAGATACATTATCTGTGCATCGAGTTTCTTTTGTATTTTCTCTTATATGTACACGGACGGTCAGAATACATTATACGTAGGTACAATAAAATTGAATACCATAACGTAAGAGGAGTGTTCCCTCCAATTTCGATTAGCGACCCTCGAATTATTGTAATAAAGTGGACTAAAAAATACACGAGCATCTTGACTGTGAGATTTTTTTTCGATTTGGAAACAATCTGTACATTATGAACGTCTAATAAGTATTGTTAGTCGCAGAGTGACTCGCATCTTCGTATACGAACACGATAGTATAATATTTATTTATTTATTTCCTTTCGCTGAGAACTGTGTCGAACGGTTACTCGCGTTCGGAGTTTCACGACCACCCTGTACACACGCTAGTCTGCCGCGTACCGACGAGGCGACGCGTCGCGAAACCCAGCGGAGGAAACTGGCTCGCATGCGAGTGCTTGGCGCCACACTGTCGCATCCTATATACAGAATCACTCTCGCGCACCGACTACGCGAACGCGCGCATACTTGGGACACAGAGAAACGCCGTACCCACCGTATACCCGTTGCATGCCTATACCTGGGGGAAAGACAGGGAAGTTAGATAGCAAGTCAGTTGCGTCGGCGATTCACACGGTGAGACGTTATCGTTTTTTCTCGATCATTTTCCGTCTATCGCCTCTTTTCATCTTCTCTTCCTCTCCCACCCTTTACGTATTTGGCGTAACAATGATTTTAAGAATAAAAAGTTTCTTTTCTGTAAGTATGCACAAACATACATGGGCGTAACCAGTCAGTGGGAGTGGAGGAGAATTTAATTTTTTCCCTCCGGGAAGGGGGGGGTGGGTCAAATTCAATTTTTTCCGTCCAGGGGGTAAATGCCCCCTCTGGCTACGCCCATGCATACATGGACAACGAGGATTATTTTTCCAAAAAGAAAAAAATTTATTAAACAGATACACCTACATCTGACAATAAGAAAAATTACGTGTGTGTGTTCGACCGCGCGACACGATGGCGGTCGCGATTGTACACGTTCTCTCTCGCAGTCACGAGTGAGATGGGTTTCTAGCGTTGCAGGGGAGTGGTAAGGGGTCAGAGAGAACGAAAGGAAACGGAAGGGGAAGATGAAAACGAACGAGTCGCAACGAAGATTACGAACCAGGTCCGGGAGTACACAGCCGTGTGTATATATACATATACACGTACGTATATGTATGTATATATGGCACGTATAAAACGAGTGTACGCGCGCATTCGCGTAGGTCGTTCGACGAAGAGGTTGGCGGCTGGCGGCTGCCCGACCGGCGACCGGCGACGGTCAACTGGCGCCAACGTTCTGGCAACCTCCCACCAGCCCCATAGTACACACTTCGCCTCGTTAAATCTTGCCTCACGGGTTACTCACGCTCTACATAAATTTCCGATTATTCGAATGCTTTTTTTCACAACGAATCAGCCACGTTTCATTCAATTTCACGTAGTTACAGGGATCTATACATGTGCAAACTCCTCTCGATTATCGTCCCGAACTCGGGTCCGCGACGGGACAATAATCGTATAGGGAGAAATGCTTTAGATCCTCGCAAATTTGTTTTTTACCCGAAGCACGAGCATCGATTACAAAAGGGGATGGGCAACAAGGTATGCACTTGACAGCCCTCCCCCTCAGTGGTGGGGATAATGCCTGGACAATAATCGTGTGGAACAAGCCAGACGATAATCGAGTCTGTATATCGTCTGTTGTGTTACACGTAAACGAACATCACACGACTTAGGGAACGGTGGGGGATCCGAGTCTGGTTGCAACCGCGACTGATTATTATTCGCGACGTGTAACAGCCGAAAATTTAGCGATGCTTATGAAACCGGGCAAATGCACCTGCGCGCGCCTCCGTAGCAGGTGTACCGCTCGTCCATACAATTTCTCGTTGTATGTATCATACATTTGATCCGATGAACGAAAAGGCAGCCACAATTCGTACATATATATACGCATATTACAGTACGCTGTATGCTTCGCGATGTTCTTTTATTTTTACTTCGATTCCGTCGTCTTTCCGATAAAAGTGACATTTCGATTTTTATCTGACGTCCAACTAGTACAGAATGACGGACCCGTTGAACAATGAATTTCCGTTTGTATTTTCCAATTGCAATCAGACAAAATGAGTATACAATTAAATTGAACAGAGACAGGAAGGAGGAAGTAAAAAAGAGTCTGGGAATAAAGGGGGAGGGGGGCAGATGTTTCTTTCGCGTTCTCTCGACATAATCTCCTCGTCATCCTGCGCTCCCACTTACGGTCTCTGCACTCCGTACATTCCGTATCGTCGACACCGGTGTCGCACACGGTGGCCATGTTAGGGATAATGTTTTGTCGACCGAGGCATCACGGCACATATACACTCGCAACAAGAGACGCGAGAAACGCGCGACTAAGTTGACCCCCGAAGCGATACGACGAACGGAGATGAATAGTGTACCCTCGCGAGTAAAACTCTGCTTCCGTTAGGGAAAAAAGTAACGTAGGGAATATTTACCAAGTGCTAGAAGACTTTTCTTCTACGCCGCTTTTTCCCCTAGCGGAAGGCCATTTAGTTTTGGGAGTTACTGAAATTTCGTTTACAATAGTGTATATGGTATGTATATCAGACGTGGCAGGTTTTCGAACAGGTAATTGTTCGCGTGCGAACATTATCGCCACCTGCTACGGGGGAATATGAATTCCGGAGAGGGAAACGAGACGAAAGAGGCGTAATATAAAATGATGGGGGCATGCCACGAGGCCGGAAGGAGGAAGGCGAAAAAGGAAGGAAGACCGGAATAATCGTTCTTTCTTCGTCGAACGGGAGCACACGTGCTGCTGTCGCGATAAAATCTCGCGGTTTCTGCGTAGATGCGTCCTTATCGGTGCGTTTAAGCTCTTTCGGTCTGGCTGATAACGATCGCGCTACTCCACGCGGTTAGATGTTATGTCCCCGAAGAATCTGGCTGCAACCGGTTGCGACCACTGACGGCTGAGATCGAACCAGGTTTACCGCGCTCGCGTGAGTATACAGACGAGGAAAAAAGTATTCATACACTAGTGACGCTTAATACTAATTGACTATACTGTTTTGCATTATAATATTTATGATAAGAATGATTACTTCTAAATATACTACAGAAGAAGGTAGCTTTATACAGTAATGTCTCGATGAGTGCAACTTACTGGGGTCCAGTACGATGCAATCGTGGCAAATTTCAGCTCCTCATAAATTTGTTTTTTGCCCGAAGCCGAGCCTCTGCTTACGTTCTGTTCACTCTGTTCTGATTGGTTCCACAAGGGGACTGTATTGAAGTATAGCCTAACTTGTTAATACATTAACTCTCGAACGGGGGATAGGTGGGTTTTAAAGGTCGTACTTGGTAAGGTGGATCTAGAGTTCTTTTTTGCTATTTAAGACGGGTAAAAAAAAGTTATTATCTTGAACTTTTATTTATGTTTATTTATTTAATAAGGAATAATAGATTTGTATGACATATAATAGTATCGAACGTTTACTAAATAACAAAAATTATTTTAAAACGAGAATAAAAAAAGAAAGTGGGGATAGATACAAGAGGAACTATTACTTGGGTCAGAACGACCCGGACCTTACCATTAGAGGGTTGAAAACAGTATAGTCAATTGATGGTAAAAGTCGTCGATGTATAAACACTATTTTTCTGCGACTGTATACTATTACTTACGCGCATCCGGTATTTGCCAGAAACGTGAACTCTCGTCGACGATTTTCGTGTGTAATTTGATGGCCATTCGTGACAGTGCCGAACGGCATGGATACGAAAGAGGGGTGGTTTTGGTGTTACCAATAAGAAAAAATGAAGAAAACACTTTAAACACCTCTTCGAAGTTCATTTGCTTGTTTTATTTATCTCTGAATTTCAATGAAAGCGAGCACGCAACACGCTTCTAGTCAAGAGACATACAAACACAACGTAGAACGAGGGGGGGGGGGGTCGATATACACATTTACACGGAGCGGATTCGAACGAGCACAGTCGGTTATAACCTCCGCACGCATTAAGATCACTGACACACGCACGACGGGGAAAACCGATTTTGTCTTCTCACTTTAGGTGAAACCTCGTTACTTGGCCCGTCGTCGCTCGACGAGCCGTTTCAAGTTCGTAACTACGAGAAGTCTATCGTCTCGTTTCCTTTTTTCATTTGACTGCGAATCGTTGATCACTAAAGCGGCGTTCGTTGGTCGCGATCGACAGGGTAAAGCGTCAACACATTTTCCCGTAATCATTGTATGTTCTATAAACACGCGCGAGTATACATTGTTTTTAATATATGCGTAGAGTAAATGTCCCAATTACCGTCAGTGTCCCTAACAAACTTTATACATTTTACACTTATAGGGACATTGAGACTGCTAACAGATTTCAATTAATTATCAATTAATTCTTCATACCTAATGTATATAACAATTTTTTTCAACGAAACTAATGTCAAGTAACATCATATTTTCAACCCAGACGATTTTTAGGCTAACCAACACGTACAATGATTAAATGAAATTACGTTACAATCATAAGATGGACAGTAATTGGGATATTTACCCCAGATCGAAAACCAAATCGGTACGGCGTCCAGTTCGAAACGTGTGCGACGGGGACGGTAAATCCAAACGGGATAGGGGGTTGGAGACGCGCCTCGAGGAACAGGGACACTGGTTTTTATCGACGATCGACGCCCTCAAGGATGATGCTCCTGCTGCGACAGCGTGTCGCGCCCCAGTATATTCGGCGTTAATTTGTACGTTGTGTGTGGATGTACAAGGGGGATGATGGTAGGTTCTCTCTCTTCAGTCTTCTTTCCTCTTCCTAAGCTTACCCTCCGTTTGGATTGTCCTCGACACGAGATCCACGCAGGCCCCCAACGACGGGCAATTCGCGGACTCGCCGTCCGGTGTGTCGACGATCTTGCCGAGGGTCATGATGTAGCTGCAGGCGATCCTCAGCACGGACAGCTTTGACAGCTTTTGATTGTGCGAGTAAGCGGGTATAGCTCGTCTAAGCGTGTCGAACGCGGCGCTGATCGTGTGTACCCTCGTTCTTTCCCACGACCGGTGGCAGATTCGTCGACATTGTCGTGGACGTGTCGCCGTTGCTGCTGCTCTGTTGATGATTCTGTCGATGATCGAGCAACGAGGACGTCGACAAGGACGTCGACGATGAAGAGGAGGTCGAGGATGAGGAGGAAGACGAGGATGACGAGGACGATGACAACGAGGACGATACGTTCGCGTGTTCTACCGGGAACTGACACGGTCTTTCGTAGCTTCCGTTCACAGCCGGATGCGGTGGTACCCTGCTGGTTATCTCACCTCTCAGGACCAGCGACAACGGTTCCTCTTGCAGTCTTGGGTGCGGGGTCGTCGCTTGTATCGTTGGGACCGTGTCGACCCGTTCGTTCGCGCCGTTGCACGGTGGGATCGTTGTCGATTTTTCGAATTGATGTTTCCGAACTTCAATCGTTGCGTCCGATTTATCGACGCGAGTCGAACGGGTCTGCGCGGAATGCCGCTGTCTTGCGGTGATCGGCAGATCCTCTGGTCGATGTGATTCCACCCGTCGCGTTTGAAAGTCCTTTTCCTCGTGTTCCAACGTTGCGAACCCGACCAGACGGGGGATCGTTGCACGTTTTTCCGCGGTTGGCATCGAACTACCTGTTATTGTCGAATCGACGCTTTTGGTCGAGCTGCTCCACGGTCGGAAAGGACCCGGTGAACTAGCAGTTCTGGACTCTTCGTCCTCTGGGATCACCGTCGTTTCTTCGACACGTTCGAAACGTCGTTTCTTCAACGGGGCTGTACTTGGTTCTTGAATCTTTCGGGGTTCGGCCAGCTTCCTCTTGTTCCGCAACGATATCGGTGTCACTTGCACCTCGAGGCTGTCCTCGGACGCGCTCGGCGAGTGTAAACCGGACATATCGTCTTCGTCCGCTCCGCTGGAAAAACCGGCGTCCCTCTCCGAACCGGCCATCACTCCGGCTGAAATCAAAGAAATAACGAAACTAGGGTTATCCATCGTGTTTAAATCGCTCGAGAATAATATTTAATTTAACACATTAACTCCCGACTATTTATGACTTAAAAGACGAAGTAAAGCGTGTCTGGCTACGAACGACCTTTTTCACTGTGGCAGTCAACGTGTTAATTCATACGGGTGAAAGCCCATTTTTACAATATTTGATTTAAAACGTTATGGCACACTAATACAATAATTATTTAATTAATATATATCATTTTTAATAATATTATTATTATATATAATTACATAATTATGATTATATATATACATAAATATTATTATTTAATATTTTTATGGAGACAGATGATACGGATAAACGGGGATAAGTACCCCATTAATGTACAAAAGTCTAAATTAGCCATTGATTACATACAACCATGTGGGAGGAAGGTCCGGTATATTCGATCGAAGGAAAGAAAAACGCGTTGCATTTTAATTTTTCGATCCATAGCTTTTCCTTCCCATTTGCCCCGATTGTGTTTCACGTGGCAAAGAATCTACGATCGAAAAAATTCTCGTTTCATTCGGAAAACAAGAGTTTGGACGCGGCCAAATGCCCGGCGAATGCGTCCTCGTCTTCGATTTCGTGTCTCTCGTCTGGCCACGCGTGTCGCCTCGCCTCGTCTGGAACACGGTCGAGGAAACGGGATGCTTTTAGGTTCGGTGCGTCATCCAACTGGTACCATCTGGCGCACAGGTCTGGCTCGAGATTGTAATACCCGCCACCTTCCCTTTTCCGTGCTCCGTCTCTGTCGCACGTTCTTTCTCTCTCCACGTCCCCCTTCCGATCTATCTTTCTCGATCCTTGTCCGTTCGTTCGCTCCCCCGACTGTGTCGCGTTTATCGATTCGCGTCGTAAATTCATCTTTAATCGACGTTAAATTCGCAAAGAAAAAGAGATGGCGATGCAGCGTGCTAGCGAATGACGATACAGATCTGTGCTAAACCCAGGGACTTCCACCGAAACGTACAATACCGATATTTTTCGATTGTACCTTCGTAACCCTTATAGAAACCGAAATACGAAAATACCGGTTTTTTTTCGTATACCGGTATTAATTTCGGTTTTCGGTAATATATCGGTTTCGGTATACCTTTACTGGCATAATACCGGTATCAAAATCATATCGGTTTTAGTCCCTGGGCATAATATCGGTATCAAAATTATACCGGTATTAAGTCCCTGGCTAAACCTCAAAAAAATATCAGCGTTACAATTGTGGACCTTTCCTTGTCAATATCCTCGAACATTCATCGAGGATTTACTGTTCAATTCGAATGTATCGCCCATCACGGTCCCTAGCCACGGTCCCGGATGCTCGATCGGGGATCGATGAGCGGGAAATGGAGAGGAAGGGTTTATACGCTTCTATATGTTAACTGGCGGTTGTCGGGGTCGAGTCGAGTCTCGCGACGAATCGTGTCGCATCGCCTTCGATACGTACATACATATACACGAGCAGGGTCCCCGACTGTGTCTCTCGTCCCCGTCCATTTAAACGATGGAAAAAGAGCGCTAGCCCCGAGAATGGGGCAAAGGGGGGGGGGGGAAACGAAGACCACATGGCGCTGGCGCCAGCCGCTGTTCCACCTCGTTGTTCTCGTTTTGTTGCCTTTTGTGGAGTCAGTCGGTCGCGTACACGTTTCTCGATCGTTCTTCTCCTTGTCCGCTGTACCCGTGCCAACCCTTCTCTCTATCTTTCTCTATTCTCCCCCTCTAAACCTCGACCTCGGCACCGCGAGATACCTTCTCGACAATTACCGACTATGTGTAGTGTACAGTCGGATCTCTACACCCGCGAAGGAATCCTTTTTCGGTGGGGATCGATGTTCACGGTGTATATGTATGTACAATACAGACGACTTTCAAAATTTGATTTGAAATTATTTATGCAATCTACTTTTGTACTGTACTTTCATAAATTCATCGAATATAGATTTGAAATTATCAGGTAGTGTTTTGAAACAGTTAAACTTTTAACACTTAGAACTACCGACGATAAACGCGTATTTGCTTCGATCGCTGGATAAACGTGGAAAAATTTTGAAAATTTAGAAATTGATTAATTTCTTCACTCTTATATTGTAATAAAAGGTGCAAAAGATTTGAGAAAATGTATTTTCGTAACATTTTAATCGTCGTTGTAAGTGTATTGACCAGCATTTGAAAAAAAAAACGATTGTCTTCGCGCATCTTTCGTACGGGGGGGGAAGATGATTTCGCGATCGTCGATTCCTTCGAAATCGGCACTGTTTGCGCGTCGAGGTCGATGGGAGTAACGATAACGGCGACTCGCTGCGCACACCTGGCGACAGAGTGGGTGGGTCGCGGCGGTCTACCGTCGCTTATCGGTTGCCTCGATGATAAGTCTCGATCTCTGTGGCCCCGATATCGAGCATCTGGTCTATTCTCTCGCGAACTCGATTCTTCTGTCGCCCGAAAACGTGTATAGATGTTACGAGGAGAGACGACGATGATGGGAGGGAGGAGTGAAAGGAGGAATGACGAAGCACAGTGTAACAATTATACATGTATTAATTTATATTTGAAGTATTTGATATTTTACTTTAAATTACAAAAATAATATTAGAAAATCAAATTTCATCTATAAATTTACAATTTATACCTTTAAATTCGAGCATAATATTTAACAAAGAAATATTATGTAAATTCATTATAATATTCAGCGAGAAAGTTTTCTCTCAGAAATGTGTACAAAAAACGGGTCTTGATTCTTCGATGTTCGTCGTAATTTCGGAAGAAGAAAAGTGTAGAACAATGTTTTAAATTGAGACTGCGCTATTGGTTTATTGAGAAAAAAAAATAATGGATCATTTATGAATACACCTAATTATACTTCCGTCCACGCGAATCGAAGAAGTGTTTCTCTCTTCGCGCGTAACGAGCACACACGTGTCTCTGTATTCTAACCGCGCGGGAACATCTTGGAGCCAACTTTGTCGTCCTATTCGGCAATTGTTCAAACAAACCGAAATAACCGGGGGACATCTGTGTAAACTGGCGCGAAGGCGCGCAACTACCCACGCGTCGTCGTTCAGTGTCACCGATCCGGTACCTCCCCTCGACACCGTTCGCCACCTTTACAGTCGATTTTGTATCCAGGACGAATCGGAGAAAACACGGGAAAACGTATCGTGGATCTTTAAAAGCAAAAGTCTTACAAGACGTCGAGAAAACGAGAGTGTTCTTACAATCGCGATTACAGGTTGATTAGAACAAGATTCTTGAAAGTAATCGATGCAAAGGGAAAGTTCAGGACGAAGGGAAGTTATGAAAAGTCAAAGTTGCGAACACGTGATCTGGTGAATCGAAGGAATCGAAAGTTGGGAGGGGAGGGTTCGTTACACTTTGGGACATTCCAGTCTATTATTATACTTAGAATGGTTCCTATCCACCCACAAGTAAGGCCTTTATCTTTAAGGCTCCCCATAGACGATACAATCTGTCGTACATACGGTCGAAGCGACCTACTACAATTTGACCAAATTATTTACCAAATTATTACCGATTCTTTTGTAAAAAAAAAATAATATTTAACACTAAATCTACCAGGATCGGTCAAATGACCGGTTTTACCATTCTAATTTGTGTCATTTTGAAGGATTTGATCGGTTTAGTGTTCATTAAAATATTTAAACCTATATATATGTGTAAATATATACTAAACATTACAGATATTCTTATCTGGTAGTGTCTTTCTGTAACTACCTAGAAACGAATGTTATTACACTTTTTTTAGTTACTCAATCATGGTTTGCTACACATGGTTGGTATGTACCAATAAATAATCAACTATATTTTATCAACTACCTAGAAATGACATAAGTGTGACAATCATTTAGGGGCCTGTTAAGCGGGATTACATTGTATACAAACAGAAATTGCATAAAAGTTTCGCCTCTTCATTGTTATTTCAGAAGTCCGTGAACGAATGCGCGAGTCATTGTATGTTGTATAACAAATGGTATCGTCTATGGGGCGTTCAATACACAGCGAGTACAACCGATCTTTTCAGAATCAACAGAGTCGTAATGTTCGGGTCCCGCGCGCAGCCTATCCCCTATTCGACAGAGTGTGACAACATCTATCCGTGCACGATACGCGACAAATATTTACTTCGCGAACGCACGACACCGATCTTTCCAGGAATATCGATAGCGTGGCTGTGACCGCGAGAAGGCATGATATCGGTTCTGGTCGCTTGGCGATACGCAAACCGACGCCGAATGTGTCAAGAGTGCGACTGTACCGAACTTCAATATTCGATTGTACATCCACGAGAGCAAACTCGGCTTCCGCTAGGGGAAAAAGTGGTGTAGAAGAAGGATCTCCTACCACTTACTAAATTTATGACAAGTTCGGAAATAAATGTTAAACCGAATATTAATTTGGCATAAATTTCAGTAACTCCCAAAACTAAATGGTAGAAGGCCCTTCGCCAACTGCACTTTTTCCCCTATTACTGAAATGTATGCCGAATAAATATTCGGTTTATCATTTGTTTCAGTACCTGAAAATTAATTTATCAAGTAGTAGAAGACCCTTCTTTTACGTCACTTTTTCTCCCGGCGGAAGCCGAGTTTGCTCGTCGGTGTACGTACGCAATGTACCGAGAGATGCGACTCACTCCGAATGATAAGAGGACGAGTGACTAACTGGCTCTGTCTCTAGATTCCTCTCGCAGCCTTGTCTCTCTCGACCTTTGCCGAGTTACGCGCGGTTTCGGAAACTTTTACATCATCGATACGAAGAAATCAACGTTCATTCTGAGCCTCGAAGAGTTAAGGCAACTAAACGATTGTTTACCAATTATAGATTCATTCAAGAAGTATTACTGTATTGCAAAGATTGGAATTTCCATGTTTAAACAATTCAAAATGATCAAGTACTTTTTCATCTTGTATTGATTATTCGAAACTCTTTATTCAGATAATGAATTTACCTATAAAGCGTCGTATGGGAACGGTCTCCTACCGCTTGGTCTCGGGAGTTACTTAAATTTATGCGAAATTGTTAAAAAATAAATCGACCAACCGGTAGGAAGCCCTTGTCACGCCTACTTAAAAAAAATATTACTAATACTAAAGAGCTACCGAGGACATTCGGAACTACAGTCTAAATTCGCAGTTTAATGAGTAAACTTGGTGAAAGAAATGTGATAGGCTTTGAAATTTGTGAGTCACCTGACGGACACCTGAGCGGACAAAGTTGAGAGAGACAAAAAGAGAGAGAGAGAGAGAGAAAAGAGGGAACGTCGATGGGAAAGAAAGATTGCCCGCGAGGAAAGGTTACGGGGATCGAAAACTGAGAGAAGAGGTCTGGTGTTCAGGTAGCAGGTGCGAGAGACCTATGCGTACAGGTGGGTGGAGGACGGTTCGGCCTTACCGCAGGCCAGCCCTCCTCCCCCTTTCGTTCCCCTAGCTTTGCTGCTACGTGCAATATATACACCCTCCACTTCCACAAGATTCCGTCTTTCTACCTGTCCAGCGTCCGTCGTGTTATATACCTGTGCGTATCTCCGAACTGTTCCTCCGCCACGCATAATAGGGTGTATCGATTACACTCGAGACACAGTGGGCCCCGGTGGAAATCTGGTTTAACTGGTAATCGCGTTTCGCCGGACCTATCCTCTCGATACCCACGGGGGGGGGGGGGGAGTGTTTCGTCGACCTATTTCAAGGGCTTCTGCTCTAGACGATGGATCTATTCTAAACATCTCCGTTTCTTTCAACGACCTAGGCATCCTGTAGAAATGCACAACTCTGTTAGAGAAGTCCCCAGTGGGTCGTGTACTACCGATCGAATTTCGAAATCGAATGAAACGTCGCTCAGTCATTTTTTTGTTGGGGATTATTCGAAGGCTAACTTTCCTTACTTTCCTATCGAGACGAGGTACGAGTTTCGTTAAAATATCAAGCGTAAGATATTCCATCGATATTCAGTAAATCCTCGATGAATGTTCGAAGGGTCCTGACAAGTTCAAGTTCCCCATGTGTAATGCTGACGTTTTTAATCAGGTTCAAATCCTTCACGAAATATTTAATGTTCAGTGCCGAGAAGCCGTCGAGCACTCATCGAGGATTTACTGTAATCCGATATGGAACGAAGGGGCCCACAGGAGAGGCGAGAGAAAAACCTTCGAGGATCGAAACGAAAACCAGAAGGGAACAACGGCTGATTAAACGAGACGACGAGTATTCGAGTTTGGTCAAGGGGTCGTTTGTTCGCCGCGAGAGTCAGGCGGCTCGCCTGCGCTGGCTGGGTCCGCTGTGTGGCAACCCACGCTGGCGCCGCTGCGCCCGTCTCTTTCTCGCATCTTCCTTTTCTATCGAACGTTGTCGTCGTCGTAGTCGGCCTCTCGCGCCTCCAACGACTTACCATTCCTTCCCCGAAAGAGACCGCCGTCTTTCTCAGCTTCTCTCGCGTGTACCGTCGACACATACACGTACAAACGATACGATCTTATATTCAATTTTCTCTCTTTCTCTATCATTTTCGTTCGTCCACAGTAGACTGTCCTCTTCTTCGCCGTCTCGAAGAACGTTTCTCGCGCGACTCGATTCCTTTACCGAACCAGTCGATCCAAGGGGAAGAGGAGGGAGGTCGGACTGGCGCCGTCCGTCGTTCATAACAATGATTATATATCGTGCACGGTCGCCGCCAACTCCCGCCGAACAAAACTATCGATCGACCGGAACAACAACTCATCTCGAGTCTAAAGGCTCGCATAGGCGATACGATTTGTTGGAGAAATGATCGTACAGACCCTGGGTTGCTTCTGAACAGTCGGTTGCAACGTTTCTGGCGCGATCGTACGACTTGCAGACAGTACAGATAGCCAAAAATCTAGTGTCCTAACAGTCCGTCCAAATATCTGGGCAAAAATTGTCCGTACGACAAATCGTATCGTATATGGGACGTGTTTAACCCTTGATTACTGAATTATCGTAAAAATTACGACCTCGAATTCGCGACTCTCAGAAATCAAAGGATAGTTTAGTAATCTAGCCGAACGGAGCGTTTCTGACGTATGCTTATGTATTTTCGCGGGAATTCGTTGTTAATTCTAGGAGAAACCCATTCCAGTAATCGGTTGTCATTAAAAGCATCGAAACGAATTTCTGATAGATCGATTAAAGATGTTAGGGTACGATCGCGTAATCGTCGCTGAAGAAATGCTACCTGTTATCCCGGTATATACAGTGACTCACGCATTCGTTCAGAATACTTTCCAAACGATAATTGATCATAAAGATTCATCTGCAAAAACTCATTTATACACTTTCAAGGCCTTTACGTTTATCATCCTTTACTGATCAATCTATGTTTCTAATATTTCGTTTACACAACCCAGTAGTGTCCGACGGAACTTTTTCGAATTGATTTATCGATATTATACCTATACTCGATTGTTAAGGGTTAAAGGAACACAGGACATTATCATCCCTTTTGATAAAATATTCCTAAATTTTTTTATTAAAACTATTCTCGTTGGTTAAACGAGTTTTCGAACAAACGTGACTGTCTTTCGTGAACAAATTTCTATCACTGTCCACCTCGCGTGAAATTATATTTACTAGCTCTAATTGTCGTTAAAATATGTATTCACCTTTCATGAAAGCGGACAGCTCGGATGTCGATTCCACCACGTGACGGGCCATTTTTCCTTTTTCGACCAAGAAGGCGCGAACACGCGCCCGATGACGCGTCTCTTCGATACACAGAGCCTCTCGATCCTCTCGATCACTAGTAACCACCGACGCGCGCACTATTTCGGCGATATTCACTGATTCCGCGTTTTTGCCGATTCCATGCAGACGTGTACCAGGATGTGATCGGTATAACCAGTCTTTGTGTGTTTCTCTCGTTGCTCCGATGGCTCGTCTGGTTCTGGCCACGGATAATCCACTAGAAAGCTCTTGGAACCACTAGAATAAATAACTCTATCCTCGATCAACGCGCAATTGGCAGCACGATGAACGAACGAAAATTGAAAGACACTGTTCCGTCGACGCGATAAAAAGCTGAACGTCGAATATACGATATATTTGCGAAAAATATCGTCGGTTTGGACATCGGTCGACCGTCACAAGAAACACTGAACCGCGCGTCCTAGCTCGTTCGCTTTCGACGATGCACTGACTGACTCGCCTCGTGCGTTTCGAGCCTCTCTTTCATCGGATACGCGTGTGCGAGGGAGTCCCGACCGGCCTGCGACTTTGCTGCCACTAACGTTACCACTACCACGACCACCACCACCACCGCCTCCGTCACTACCACTACCACTACCACTACCAACACCAGGCGTGTCTATACGTTGTTGTGTTGCGTTCGCAGTTTTCTCGCACGTTTTGTCTCACCACCGACCACTACCACCGACATACATGCATCTACTGTGTGTGTTTGGTTGTATCTCTTTTTACCAACCTCTTAGGGGACCACAATGGTGAAGAACGCGAGAATGGAACAGCGTTAACCTGAATTGTATCGATATTACATCGTAACCACGTGTGTAATAGAGCGTCAGGAAGGTACAGTAAATTCTCAATGAGTGTTCGAAGGCTCCTCGGCACATTGACAAGGAAAGATCTCCAGGTGTAACGCTGACCTTTTTAATGAGGTTGTGCAGCTTGGAATTCCGAAGCCGATGATAGTTGTTTCAGCCGCATACGGCCATTAGTTTATGAAATACTTAACGTTCAGCCTTCGAACAATCATCGAAGATTTACTGTAGAGGGTTAACGCCTCGGGTACATTTGACCACTGACAAGGGAAGGCACGGAAGTGTCATTTTTTTTTAGAAATACCTGAATTTTTACATAAAATCTACGCTACTACTCGAAGCACCAAAAAATTAAATCTGTTCGTCGTGCAGAATTTTTTTCAAATAAATCAATACCCAAAGGGTTAATCGTGGGGCGGTTTGTCCACCGAGGAAACTCGATCGTGTCACGGATGATCTTCTAACTCTATGTCCTCCTCGTCTGGTTCATGATTCAATGGAACCAGGCTGTTCTGTTGGATGCTGTGTCTGTGTGGATGCCGAGAGATTGTGTTGGTGGTGTGTGACGATAGCTGCTGGCGCACGTTACGAGAGAGAACCGGGTAGAGAGGTGTGTGCGCGTCGAGCGTGCATTGTTGGCGGCAAGAGGCAGCGGGGGCCGACAGAACGGCGCCAGCCGCCCGAGAGTTTGACTCTGCTTCTACCCAGAGTGCCGTCCATCTTTTTCTTCTCATCTCCGTCTAGCGCTACGGTGTTCTCTTTGTTCATCTTTGCGCCGTCCCATCCCGTCCACGGTCGAGGGGGATATGGACCCATCCCGTGTTCCCATCCCGTCTTATCCTCTGCGACGGTGTGCGTATTCTCTCGTGCTTCCTGGCTCCTTCTCTGTGTGTATGTGTACACCTTCGCTTTCCTCTTCGTCACCGTTTCTCTCCCGCGTCATCCCTTTCAGTGTGCTCGATTTCATTTAAAGTCAGCACAGACGGTAGCCACCCGCGATGTGGATTGATATAACGCCGCTGCCTGGTGTCGCCGAGCTGTCGAGCCTTATTACTACGCGATGTATGTATATCTGTGTATGTGTGAAGAACGCACAGGTTTACGTTAAAAATGTATCGATCATGAACCTTGGATCTACTGAGATAATGTTACGCCTGAGGATGTGGAATGAATCGAAAAATTCAAGATGATCGGTATACAGGTTAACGTTGGTGATTAACCTATTTATGCAATTATGCTGGCCATATAGAGTTCTGTGAAATTTCTGTTTAATCAGTAATCGGTATCTAATCGAGGGTTGTTTGTTGCCCATAAGTTGAAGCAACCCAAAATTTCAGAGCTATCTACAATGCCATTTAGTATCTTGTAAGCACAAGTAACACAAGACAATAGATCGAATTTGCTTGTTAGTCTTCCACCCCATGCTACTCTCTTTGATGAACGAAGTCATTTAGGTATTAGTATATAAACGTTGGAAAATTCCCATACGATTTCCCCATTGGTATATAGGTACATGTATATACAATCCTCATTGTCCATCCACCGTCATTACCGCTCCTTGACCGGTCGAAATATGGTTTTCACGGCCCTAGACACCACGTGTAGTTGTCTCCCTGAAAATGACAAAAGGGTCCTCGGATTTCCTACCCCTAAGGTCGAAGGACTATTTACAACTACTCGAAAAGTCTTTCTCTCTTTTTCTCCCTCGGCCAGCTCCGTTTCCTCGATTGTAGACGTAAGCGTCACGTGGCGTGCTACCGACGTATGTTCGACATCTGGCTGGAACCAAGCTATCTTAATCCCTCTTTAAACCTCCCCCTCCTCGGTGAACGCATCGACGGAAATGCGGTCGACTCTAATCCGATCGGTTAATCGCACCTTCGAGAAACTCTGCGGGTGTGTGTGTGTGTGTGTGAACACTATCGATATATCATTGCTATCAAATCAATGTCTATCGATTTCTGCAGCGTGTCACGTCTATTCGATTCGTAAGGGATGATCGTTGAGAACAACGCAAGTATGGAAAAAATACATACGTACACTACTAGAAAAATTATGGAACCAGATGTGATAATTAAAGAGAGAGGGATTTTATAAATGGAATGTGCTAAAATTGATTGAAAATTATGCATACTCATTTCTGACTCTCTACTGCATGTACCGATTCTGTAACATTTTTACATCGTAACAAAATAATGACTTACTGTTCTATAAATCCTGAACTCTGGTCCCACATTTTTGACCAATAGTATAGACACTTATATATCACGACTGCGAACATGATCAATTCTGGGAATATTCAGAAAGTCCATCGAGACAATTTCGGCTGGCAAGCACCGAAATTTGTTACACGTGGAACAATCGACGCCCTTTGGTCCTTTTCCACACGTTTTGGCCAGGGAATCGGAAAGCCCCGGACCCGCCCGTCTAGGTACCCTATATCTGCGAAGCATATGCGCGTGGATAGGGGTGCGTTAACGGTATTAAAGAGAAAAGGCGAGCAGGGACCAGGCAGTCGAATTTGTCGGGGATGCGTGGCGACCAGATGCGACGAAAAAACCCAAGGAAATTCCCAAGGGCACCAACCACCGTCCGGCCAACCAACCGACCGCCACATTCGCTCGGGAGTCGAATACTACTACGGTTCGATCGGTATTTCCGTGTTCCCCTTAGTCACGTTTATCGATTATATACCTACTTATGCGAATACAATCGAGAATACAATAACGTTCAAATGTACATGAAATTTGGAAACGAATTTTTTATTTCGGACTATTCTACATCGAGATATCGTTTATACCGTGCAATTTTCGATCAACACGTTTAGCGTCACCTACAATTTCCCACGAACACTGAAACAAAATTTTCTTTTATTTCCCTGGATTCTTTGATTTCTTTAACACAGTGATAAAAATTAATATAATGACGGCATAAATAGTTAAACTTGCAAATTCTTTAAAATAAAAATCATGAAGTTCTAAGTAAATTCATCTAGACATGACGGAACATCATAATTTATAGAGGGACAGATGAGTGTTAACAAAAATTTCCCAAGTGTCATCTTTTTTCAAATTGTCTTAATCTCGTTAATTGTTCGAAGATCAGGATATCGCTTTTAGATACGGCTTCCTTTTGACTGTGATACGTTTCTAATTAAAATTGTGCCCAACTCTGCGCACACATACACACGCACGTATGTATGGCCGCGGTGGTAACCTGTCGGGTAAGTTTGGGGCAAGAGTCTTCTCTTTTCCAAAGGCGTCGCGATTTGTCAGTCCTCCTCCTCCCCACACTGTCGTAACTAGCGGCACACGCACCTGCCGTCGCCTCGGCACTCTTGGCAAGGATCTCGCGCCAATAAATCTTCTTCCCTTGGCTCTTTTCGAACGCGTTTCAAGCCCCGACGCTGCGTTTCGTTTTAATCGCTCTATCGAGCAAAAGAATTTCGATTCTCACGATGTCGAGCTCGCGGCCATCTCTTGTCGCATTCTTTCGTGGTTTTGTTCGCGTGTGCGAAACCGCGCGAAACAAATTAGCAGGAGAATGTGTGCGAGTATACATGTACACGTACAATCTGCACACTTTATAATCTCTAAATATTTGATAGACGACGGACCGTCGTATTACACACGCGCATCTGTGCCAGCCATATGTCCTCCCCTTTGCCCTACGTATCACTCAATTTCCATTCACCTCACCATCCCCCTTGTTTCCCTGCTCTGAATAGCGTAATTCCCTCGACGGTATTTTGCACGAACCTTCTCTAGACGATTGGGTACGTCGATCAGGTTGATTATTATTTTTCCGATAATATTCGCAGAAATTCGTTTTTTTTTTTTTTTCTGACGCAGCAGTGCGCGCTCGACGAATATAATAATCGGACGAGCTTCACGCTGGTAGCAAGTTTTGCGGGCCTAAACCTTGGTGCACCTGTCCCCGGGACAGAAAAGGCGTGGTGGTACCCAATGTTCTACCGGTCGACTTGGTTTCGCCTCTGTTCGTCGAACAGAAGAACGTGGTCTCTTTCAATCTTTACGAATGGATGGGCTGGTCATACACTGCCAGTCAAGCTGGGATCGATTAGACACGCATGGTGGGGCGACGGAGAGTAAGCTGTTTGTAAAAATCTACAGTATGTCTGTTTCAAGTATACTCACGCAA